GAGGGACAATGCCCAGGCCCAGAGTTCAAGCCCCACGACCGACAAAAAAAAAAAAAAAAGAAAATACAGTACAGAGGAGTTACAATTACATGGGCAAGGTAATGAGTGCATTTCTTATCAAGCATTGTTGCTTCCTCCTTTGTTTCCCCTTACCATTCCCTCTCATCTCCTCCCACCCCCGTCCCCCTCCTCCCTCCCATCTTCTTTTTTTATTGTGAAAATAATTCAGTAATTACTTAGAGAATTCCATAAAAGTCTACACACTCATTTGGTAAAGAACATGCTACACTGTCTTTCAAAGCTCCTTACTTTATTCCTATTATCCTACACATCTCCCTCCTAGCACTTTTCATCCATGTTAGTCAGCAAACTAGGAACAGGCCATAGGATATTCTAAATGCCTTTCCAAAGTAAAAAGCAGAAAATATGATCCAGATTTTAGATTTATGAACAAATACAGTAATCGTATATTAGAAACCGGTCAACACGAACCATCTCTCTAATAGCTACTACAATTGTTCATCTTTTCTTCCTTTCTCATTTTTCTTTCCCTCATTTCCCTGTTTCAATCAACTAAGTTAGAGGATTTGGGAGTTTAAGACAGGTCCAACTAGGGATGTGAATTTGAGGGTGGACTGGAGTTAAGTGACAAATAAGACAAGTGTGTGTTGTGTTTGAGCAAGTCAATGAAGGACATAGAAAGAAAAGCCAGTAGAAGAGCAAGCAAACAAGCAGTGTGTTCATTCTCAAATAAAAGCATGTAACTGACTCAAGAGGTAGGAGGATGGCCATCTATAACTCAAGCTTGGAGAAAGGATAAATAAGGAACAAGAATGGATCAAGTCTGACAATAGACTACAAGTTGAAACTGAGGCATTTGAGATGAAGTCTTGATTGGAATAGGATACATAGCAAATGGAAGTGAGGAATAGAAATTATGACTTTATATCTTTTTTTGAAAGGTAAGGTTTTTATTGTTATTGTAAAAGTGATGTACAGAGGGATTACAGTTACATAAGTCAGGTGGGCATATTTTCTATTTTATGTTATTTTTGGTGGTATGGAGGATTGAACTTAATGCCTCACACTTGCTAGACAAAGACATGAATGACTTTCCCAGCCCTTTTGCTTTTAGTTTATTTTTCAGATATTTGCCTGTTCTTTCAACTATGTTTCTTTCAACTTTCAACTATGTTCCTCCTACCTGAGATTCTAGAGTAGCTAAGATCGCTTGTCCTATAGGTGGAAATATTTTAAAGAGTGGGAAATTTAAAATATTTACAAGTAAATGGAAATAATACAACACAGAGAAAGGAGGGAGTTGATGTTGAAAGGGGAGAAATTACAGAAGAAAAATGACTACATAGGCAAGAAGGATAAGATGCACAGCTTATACAGATTGGCTGGCCTTAGTTAGCTTTATGGATACTTCTATCATCTGTACAAATAGTGTTTAAGTGAGTGTACATTTTAGTTCTTGTGATGGAAAGATGAAGGAGGTGTTGTCTGATAACTTGTATTTCCTCAATGAGTCTGAACAAAACAAAATGCTTTATGTAGAGAACGAGGAGCAAAGGGCTTAAAGGGAAAGAAGAGGAGCTGTAAGAGTTGAAACTAAAATGTGTGACACATGTCTGGTTTCAGTTGGGCTGGCAGGAAGAAATGTGCAAACCTACTTTAGGCATACCTCACAGGGAGCCTGTTTCTGGTTAGGTATCAAGCATCATTTCTTCAGGCCCTCCTTCTGCTTCAGCTCTCACTTGCCATGATTTATCACCGTGGTTCAGACATCTAGAAATTCCTTCTCCTTTCTCTTCACGTAATTCAAATATATACATATTTTTGCATACATAAATACTTAATTACTTTGCACACTACCAAATATTTTCAAGAATAAAAAAGTAGAATTTATACTGCGCTCCTCTGAGTCTAGGTTTCATTATTTAAAAAATAAGAATAATACTACATATATAGATTTGTGGTTATTAAGTAGTAGTGGCATTTAAAAAATACTGGCTTATAATTGGCAATGAATAAATGATAATTAGAATTATTATGATTATGAAATATTAAATATTTGTCAGAGTAAGAAAACCTTACTTCTATCTTTTATAACAAGTACAACTTTTTTTTAGTAACTTTGATGTGGCATAATGTTTTTAACTTTATCATCTTCTGATTTGATTGGTATTTATACACTTGAATGAATTGTGACTTTTTTGTACTTTGACCTTTCTAAAGGTCTTAGGACCTTTATAAGAAGGAGCAGACTTCACACAAGATATTTATGAGATTTTTATTTTTGTTGCAAAGGAAAATTGTAAGTAACAATGTAGTTTGAAAAACACAAATGAACCCAGAGAAGAAACAGAATAAAAAATCTATTACAGAACTTGAAAGGGATTTTTGAAGAATGACAATGCGCTTCACCTTCTCTTTATTTACAAACAACGTTGCTAAGGACTACAATGTTTCTGTAGTAGAGCATTATCGCAATTTGAATAACTGCTACAAAGGAAAGCTAAAAAAAAAAACCCCATACTTCAGTGTCAATCTTTTTGTTCTCAGTAAATCATGCCCATAATTGGTGTTCTCTAAAGGAATATAGATACTACCAAAATCAGTGTTCAATGTGTAAAGGTAATTGTGAATATTAACATCATGTTTACTCAATATCTTCTTCCATGTTGGTCTGCTCAGGAGCCTGAATCTCTCTTTCAGGTAGTAATCCATATTCGTTTAGGAAAGACTCTACATCACCAGAAAAAAACTCTTCAGACAACTGTTCAGCGACACTAATAAAGTTGCTTATGAGTTCCCCGCCTTTGTAGACTAGCAGTGTGGGGAGGACATCTGAGGAAAAGCGTTCCCCAGCACCTGTATTAGAAGCTTTTATTTTACAGAATTTGACCATAGGATATTCTGATGCAAGGCAGCTTAGACTACTGTTGAGGGCATCACACCCCTTCACACCATCTTCATATATGTGGACGATGATGGTGGTGATCTTCTGCTCCTTTTCAATTGTTTCCAGAAATTGCTCTCCTGTTTCTAGCTCATACACAAACCCATATCTAGGCCCAAAACTCAGCTTCTGGTGCATATCTTGCATGCACTGTCTCCGGTATTTACGAAGGCAATTTTCATCCTCTTTGTCTTGGTGGATAAGTTCGTATTCTTGAATGCTCATCTGAGGACAGATGAAAGCAATTATAGAGATAACCTGGACAAAAATGGTTCTTCCTTAGATGCCCCCAACCGTTCTCAGCCATGGCAGCGTGTTTGCTGTTCGCTCTGTTTTGACTTCCTGAAACAATCATCTCATTACCTCATCCTATCACCACTAGCTCAAATGTCATACTGCTTGATTTCTCCAGGTAAAAAGACTCCTGCTCTATATTCTCCATCTTTATATTGTTTTTTTCCATATCAATAAATATTATCTGAGCCTGCACTATGTATATTTTTAAATTGCCTAATATTAGTTTGGTCTAATATTTTGTCTGTTTCAATATATTTTGAATATCTGTTACAGTGTCTTGTGCCTAATAGGGATTCAATCATTATTTTATGCTGAAATGTAGAATTAGTCATAGCTGAATCATAAAAGCTCATGATACCAGTTGGACATATGTTACTTAACCACTCACCACATAGGGTAAAAAAAATATCAACCAGGTCTGCTCTGAAGTAGCTCACATCAAAAATGAATAAAACAAAACAAAACAATGACACACACATACTGACATATAGAGACAAGCACACAGGTAAGTGTGTCCCTAAAAAAATGCTTCTGGACAGTACTGTACCTTTTCCCTAAGTTGTTAAAATTCTTAGGCTGTAGTGGCTTTCTTTTGAATATGTGATATGGGTTTCAAACAAGACAGCTTTTGCTTCTGTTGGGGGGTTTGTTAAATTAATCAAGAGATTCAATGACTGGACCACGAAGATCAACATGACTCAGGAATGACTTGGAACTGCAATTTTTGCAGATCTACTGAATGGGAACTTGCAAGGGTGAGACTGCGCAGTCCCAGCATTAACAAGTCCCCTGAATTAACTCCTGCCCACCAGCTTAGGCAGAAGAGGGAAAAACGCCTAAATTCCATCCTCCAAAATGGCTACTTTTCATTGTCACTGGAATATAGAATTGCCCTCACAGTCTTTTATAATATCTACCTCATTATTATTGTAGTTGATAATGTATTAACTGCATCTTTCCCCAACTGGAGAACAAACCCAAACCAAAAATATATTCAAGAGGTCACTAACAGACAGGGAGCAGTTCAGAACTATTAGAGTTGGATATCCCCAATGGAGGTGTACACGGCTGTTATCCCCATGTAAATGCTCAAATAGCAACATGTATTGGCTTTGAAAGTAAAGGAGTACTAGGAAGGCAAACAATTAGTATTTTGGAGCATATTTGTATTATTGAATCTGAGCAAGAAATTTCTGAGGTAAGAAGATATTAAGATTCAAATTATGTGGAATTAGCTTTTTTTTATTTTCCTATTCTCCTATGTCTGAATCTGTTTCTCTACTGGCTTCACTAGTTTTCTTAACTTGTTATTTTTTTCCTATTCTATTATTGTCTCAATTTATTTTAGCCCTACAATTGATAAATACTTTGTATAGCTCTTAAGTTGCTTCACTTAAGAGATCAAGTCACACAAGATTTGAAGACTTGTCTGAGCATCATCTGAGGATTTGTGCCATTCATATATTCAGGCATATATTTATGCATTCAGGTATGTTTCCAAAGCTTAAAATTAGCACACAATCTTTAATAAGAATATTTATACTTGCATAGTATTTTATGTTCCCAAACAATTTTCTATTTATTTTTATTCATGTCTGTTTGAAATAAGTGGAAGATATTTTTACAATTCATCAGATGGAAAAATTTAATTATCTCACAACTCAATGAAAGAATCAATCTCTGCTCCCATACATAAACAATATTAGGCTTAAACATTACCAAGACCAAAGTCTTGCACTAAGGCACATTTTAAGTCATAGTCTGTCTATTGAGACTCAGTATATACCTTTATTTGGGGTTGGGGGAGGAAGTCATGGAGCTTGAACTCAGGAACTAGGCTCTATCCCACAGCTTCTTTGTGCTCAAGTCCACCACTCTACCACAGCACCATTTCCAGATTTTGAGTGTTTAACTGGAGATAAGAATCCCATGGGGACTTTTGTGCCTGGGCTGGCTTCAAAACTCGATCCTCAGATTTCAGCCCCCTGAGTAGCTAGTATTACAGGTGTGAGCCACTAGTGCCCAGCTAGTATATAACCTTTATACACTGATGTGAAGATAAAAAAATCAACTGAAGTTATTTTTCCCCATGAGTAAAAATTATAATTTATTCTTAGAAATATCTCGACTTTTAGTGATCCTTTCTTGAAGTATGTCTTTATGACATAAACAAATATGTCATATAGTGTAATAATTAAGATCTTTTTAAAAATGTTGCTTCCCAAAGAAAAGTATCTTTTTTTTAAGCTAAGATATTTCTACCCACCTTTTTTCTCTCTTCCAATCAATCTCATTTCTTTCAACAATCAATATTGTTAACCTGGTGTTGCTCTTTACTTTCTCTATATAAATTCATGTGCATACAAATACCAATATTTAATAATAAGTCGATTAAATTTGTTATCACTTAAACTAGTTCAAATATATTCTTGTAAAATATTCATCAAGACCTCAAAAGATATAAACTTTCCTGTAACAAAAATTTTCAATATTTTAATTTCTCATATGAAATTGATTAATCCATTAATCATTAATTCATGTATTATTTAATTGGTTCACATTTTTCTCTCTTTTTAAAGGGTTTTTGGTATTTTTTAAATTATATTTTTATTATCTTTAAGTAGTTGTATAAAGGAGTTTCCACTTAACAAATCAATTTACAAATACATTTGAATCATTATTTCCCATCTCCCCCAACCTAACACCTTCCCTCTCCCAATTTTCTTAGTTTGTAATTGGTTCTCTTTTTTTAATATATATTTTTCATTGTAAAGCTACTGTACAGAGGGGCTACCGTTACATGAACAAGGTAATGAGTCCATTTCCTATAGAGTCTTGTTCCTATTGAGCATTGTAGCCACATTGTATTTTTTTTAGTATAAAATATCCTCAGACTCACTTCACTTCTACTGTGTTTTTGGTCAGTACAAGCAAGACTTAGAAAACATATTTAATTTATTTATTAATTTTTGTTCTTATCTTACCTTTCTGCTGATTCTTTCTTTTGAGTCTTTGTCATCTCTGCTCTGAGGAGAAGACATTTGCCTGAGAATGTCCTTCTTGCTAGGTGGGATTGAATCACCATCTTCACTTTCTAATTTAAACTTTCTCCAATCATGTATTACTCCTTTAGGTCCTGGAATAAAAAAAATTAATTTTTTTCGTTTTTTTGAGGATAGAAATTCCCTACTGCCTTGTTTGTAAAAGCTTTCTCCCAAATGACTGCTGTCAAATGGGTTTTGAAAAAGAATCCCACTGAAACTTTTTGCACTAGTGAAACTACAAATTATACATTTTGAACTGTTGGCAAAAGTTATGTTAGCAAGGATATATAGAGAGAACTAGAACTTTAGAAAAATAGTGCTTTCATTGGGTAAGAAAGAGCTTTTGTCAATAAGCTAATATTGCCACTGCATTGTTAATAAAGGAAACTTGAATTGCTGGGGAAACAAAACATAGTTCTTGAAAGACAGCCAGTGAGAAAGGGGTCCGACCACAATAAACAAACTAAATGGCTTTAAGAGAAGCAATGCACAGCCACCCAATTCCTTCTAAAATTCTAAGAATATCTCACAAACATAAAGGATGGGATTTTCAGACAGAAGAAAAATAAATGAAACCAAAGATGACCTAACTGAGGTTCTAATATTCAGTTGCCCTGCAAAATAACAGTGCTTCGAAGAAAGTTTTAAGCCCTCACTATATGAGATTTTAAATTCCACATTCAATAGTCTTTTCATACCTTTGGTATTATATTCTATATTTAGATAATTCTGCCTTTCTCATTTAGTAACTGCAATAGTCAGCCATACACAATTTAACAGATTACAAAAATACTCTCAGGCACAGACAAAGTCCAAAGGAGGGCAGACAAATAGAAGAGGAAAGATGGGTAGATGTAGTTGTAATATTCAAGGTACATGTGGAAATGACGCTAGGTAAATTGAGGGGATAGGTGTGGTTCGGAGCAACTGTGGTGGATGACAGAAGGAAGGGGTAACATTGGTCAAGACGCACTGTATTTACAAAACTGACATGCTGCATTGGAACCCTTCTGAATGACTACTCAAAGATAATTTATAAAATTTAAAAAAGAGAAAATAGTCTGGATGAAACAAATGGAAAATGTTAGTTTCCTGGAAAAAGATTGAAATCAAATTGATTCAAGAATGCTTTATTAATCATTACCGTTATTTTTCATATTAAAAATAAATCAAACGACATTGTCTTTAATGTACTATTGTTTATGAAGTACCAAGGAAAGTCTATAATGAGAGACATGAAGAGAGAAGAGTGGAAAGTGGTTTAATTATTCTGTAGATATAGAAGTCTTCTGAGAGTTGGACATCTATACAATTATCAACAGTATCATTCATTTTTAATTTTTATTATCTCTACGTAGTTGTAAAGGAGGTGCCACTTAACAAAGGCGCCATTTAACGTGAATATAATGATCTTGATCAGTGTCACCTCCTTAAACATTCTCACATCCCCATCCCCCAACAATTAGTATCTTTCTTTCTTATTTTTTGACACTGAAATGTTTTTTTTTTTCCAGTCTTGGGGTTTGAACTCAGGGCCTGAGCACTGTCCCTGAGCTTCTTTTGCTCAAGGCTAGCACTCTACCGCTTGAGCCACAGCACCACTTCTGGCTTTGTCTGTTTATGTGGTACTGAGGAATGGAACCCAGGGCTTCATGCATGGTAAGCAAGCACTCTACCACTGAGCCACCTTCCTAGCCCTGAAATAAAATTGTTATATGAGTTATTTCATTTCAAATTAATTTATCTACTCAATTTTTAGACATTATTTTATCTTACCACATGAAGATAATACTTAAGTTTCACAGTTGAGATTGTAAACAAAATATTGGTTCTTTCTAGATTCAATCTTAATTATGGAATTATTTTTTATTCTAGTTTTATTTACCTGTGTGGGTGGCTTGCCCTTCAAAATCTTCCTCCAAACTTTGGCTTTGGGCTTCTTCCATTTTAAAGAATAAACCTGATAGAATCTATAGTATAAACACAGAAGTGATGATACAGATGAATTCCAGAATATACATGCATATAGACAGACACATAGAGATATGTCTATACTGTATAATCTCCTATTTCTCGATTCCATAGTAGGTTAAATGTTGTTATGAATTGTTCTCACTATCATAAAGTGTTTAAAATGTTTCTATCGACATTGTGAAATATGTTATTGAAGATGTTTGGTAATTGTCTCTTCTAAGTTTATGCTTTCATTTTAATATGTATACTCATGAACTCTGTTGATTATTGATTTCCTTTTGTTATTACTGTTTGTTAAACAATTTCAAAATGTTATAATCAAATATTTTATATAATAAAAACTTTAATTGTTTGATGTATTTATGTGACAGGCATTTTTTCCAATAAATTTACATATTAAAACAACCTCATATTGCCATGTGTGTTAGGACAATTGTTGATATCATTTTACAATGAAAAAAGGTGAAGACAGGGAACTCAAATTACTTGCCTATCATTGCAGGTAGTAACTAACAAAACAAAGCTATTTACTTTTTTAACTGTGGGGGTGTATTCTTACCCATTATAATGTAACAGAAGTTAACTCATTATAACAATCCTTTTGTCAGTGTGGTTTGGTGTATCCAGTCTTCATATTAGAATTCAAGATGATGGTCTAGAGCACATTGCTAATTAATACTTAACACCACAGCATCTCCCCATACCAACCATCTTACTTTGTTATTTATCTTTCACTTTGTTGGCATTTCTTCTTCATATGGAAAATGAACCGATTCATCTTTCAAACTTTCTACAATATTCCTTGTCAAAAGTTACAAGTAAAAAATGGTATCTTGGTGTTTATACAATTTATACTATCAGGACCACACCTGTATGGCTTCATTTAACCTTAATTTCTTCTATAAAAATCCTACCATTATATACATGCCTCACATTGCAGGTGAGGCTGTCAGCATATGAGTTGAGGTGGGAGGATTATGAGTAATCCAAACTTTACAATTTACACTGTGGGGATGCTGGCAACTATTCCAGTGCTCTTGAATTCACCCTTCTGTTTTTGTATTATTCATTAGCTACTTCTCTTCAATTTGGCCATATGTATTTGAAATGTCACTGAAAAGTCTCATAATGATGGTGACCGGGATTCTCCATATTAGGTTATAATATAAATGTCTACTATGTCCTCAGTCAATGTTTCCATTGCTCTTATGGCTCAGATAAGGTATTGGTGCTAATACAATAGAATAAAGGGCTTGCTATTTGGGGAGATGGCTGAAATCAGCAAAACAGTAAGGGGGACAAATAACATCCTACCTCACCTCCCTCCTGCTAGAAAGCTGGATTCTGTGTGAGGACCTGCATTTCAGAAGGGCATTTCACCACAGTGTTCCTTCACCTTCTGCCTTTCCCAACTCTGGACATCCATCTCCTTGGCTTCCCTCTTTCCTGTGTTCCCAAGGTGACTGTGACCTAATCTCATCAGCTTAGCCAGGCTAATGTTCTCACAGATACTAAAATATGAATGTGAGGTGTTCCCCCCCCACCCCCAACATAACTATTTTCCCCAATGTCATTTGGATGCCTATAGAATGCAGTTTTTGATGTGTGTGTGTGTGTGTGTGTGTGTGTGTGTGTGTGTGTATTTTCCCATAAGATAGGTCTACAGCAACATCTGATTCTGATTATTGGGTCATGGAGAAAGCAATTGTTTTTAAATTATAAACCAGATTTCATTCAAACCAGATTTCTCCCCATCATTTTCTACCCTACCCCAATATTTTGAGAACCAGGCCTGGGTAGCTAAGAGTGATGAGGTCTCAGGTTAATATCATTACAGTAGTGATTTTTTGTCTCATAATGTATTGTTAATATCTTACCATGGTCTCTTGTTGGTTATTTAGACTTCTATGCTCCACAGGGGAGGAACTAAGTTTCTTAAGGGTAGGATCCATTCACCTAAACACTGCAAAATGGCAGTGTAGATACTGCTAAGCTTTTGGACATTTGGGTTCAAATCTAGATTTTTCAACTATCTGCTGTGTGACATTGGAAAAATCACTCAAACTCTCTATGCTCTAATTTCTTATTTGTAAAATAGAGTAATAACAGTGTCTACTTCAAAAATTGTTATGAGGATTAAATGAGAGAAATTATATGAGTGTATAGAACTTGGTACTAGATACTTAATGGGTTTTGAGTGAAGACTTATTGGATAATTAGTTAACAATTAACAATTAAAATATTAATGTCAAATATTTAAAACAATATATAGCTACAATGATATAAATTTTAGATAAGAATATATATTCATTATTGATAAAGGTCATTTATGGTAGCATTTTACCTAATTTCTTATAAGGACTGTTTGCTACAAGGCATTTAAGAACATACAAAATGAGGAGGAGATTAATTTGGGATTGTAAAATATGGGGTAATAAAATTTACATGAAATTGTTTGAAAACCATCGTAAATTTCTCAAGATGTATGCACAAGGCCTAGTGTAGTGGTGCGGACCTGTTAGCCCATTTACTCAAGCGGTAGTGATTGGGAGGACTGAAGTCTGAAGTCCCCCACCAAACAAAAAATTAGTGAGACCCTCTTACCAATAGGTAAACTAAGATTGGTGATTCAAGCCCATAATCCTAGTTATGTAGGCATGCATCAGTGGGAGGAGCTCTTTTCAAGGCTGGTTCTAGGAAAAAACACAGGGCTTACATGAAAAAATAACTAAAGCAAAAATATCTGAAGGTATGGCATACATGATAAGATACCTATCTAGCAAGCACAAAGCCCTGAGTTCAAATTTCAATACCTCCAAAAAGAAAAAAAAAAGAAAGAAAAGATGTGTGTACTGGTGGAGAATGGGAATGATCACCTGAATTGAATGTGACATACTTAGTTTCTAACCCATTGGCTTCCTTCCCCATGATTTTTCAAATGTGTAAGTTGTTTTCCATTTGATTTTCCTTCTTGAGTTCATGACACTGCATCTTTTATGTTTTCCATGTTTCAGCTCTCTAATGAAATAGGACTTTGCAGAAAAAGTCATAACACTTAGATTTTCTGTTATGATCTGGCATTATACTGGTTAAGTGTGGGATAGCTTGACTTTTACATTTCTGGTATTATCAGGGTGCTTTTCTTTAAACATAAATTCCCATAAACTTGAGTAGAATACATGACACAGATTTAAAAAGAAGAGGAATGAGTGAGAAAAATACTGAATGAGTGACAGGAATTCATATTTGTCAGCCCGTATGATCAGTAAAAAATATTCCTGGAAAATATAAGCTTGAAAAATTATAATTGAATGTTTTGTTCTTAATGAAAAGACATCAACCTATCTAGATTTCTTTTTATTACATATAGCCATGCTCTTACTGATGCTACAAAAAAGTGTCAGAATCTTATATGAAATTCAGAACAGGTCCTTCTTTTGTCTATTTTTATTAACTTTGTGAGTACAATAAGCATTTGTTGTTTGAATTGTATTTCAAATAGGACTTCGAGTAGTTCATTGATTTTTTGACAGTAATGAAATGTCAAACCCAGTTTGTAAATAATATTCTGACAAATATTGCTGTGATGAATGTTCTCAGAAGATTTTTTTCTAGGTTAACATTAGACAATTTTAAGTACCATGTATAATAGACAAAACTGCTATATAAGCTGTTGCTCTTGTCAAAACCTATTTTACAGTTAATAAAATAACTCCATTGCTAAACAATGGGAATACCTGTTCCACCCATTTTCATGAAATTTATTAGTAAAAATAATTATTCCCATGGGCACAAAATAGAAGAAAAGTTAAATATATTTAAAAGAAAATTCTCATTTCATTTAGCTAATATTAACAAACTGCAAGTCTTTAAAATAGCACTTTAGTCTCATAAAATTTTAAAGTCATCATTTGAAAAAGGCATTACTTGTTAAAAACACTTTAACTGAAAAAAATAGAAACAACCTAAAAACATAGTATTAAGTAAAAGCCCTGAACACACAGCTGGTAAAATGTCTGATTAATTCAGAGGGTCTGAGAATGCTTCAGTGTTAAATGGAATACTTTCCATAGTTTGGGAGTGAAATTCTCAAACACAAAGTACACAGAATCATCATCTCTCCCTTTAAGTCCTTAAAGTTATGTGTAACAAATAGCAAAAAATAAGGAGGGATAAAAATTTCAAAATGAACTCTCTGTTCCTAGCCTGATAACAGTCTAGACTAGTAGACTCAAAATCATGTATTTACTTTGAGTTTTTATTAACAGAGATGATTTGGTGCAAATTACTTTAGAAGAGAAAGACATATGGTATTCAACGGTGTTCACTGTAGACAAATCAATATTTAACATTAACTTTTCAAATATTTTAAAAGAACACAATTATATACAACATTGAAATCACTATTCTTTGCCTTAAGGCAAAATCTAAAGAAATTCTATTGGCAGAAAGACTATGTGAAGACTCACAGTTCAGATCGCTGTATGTGGTGTCCTCGGTTAGGTTCAGGGGGTGAGAAGACCTGTCTTACCGAACTCTTTTTGAATGCAAATAGGCGTAAGCCCTGATTTAAGAGCCTTGGATATTGATGACCCTTGCAGAAATAGCTCTCTCTGTACATGTAAGAGGATTGACATAAGAGAATTAGCAAGGTCTATTTAGTAGTAGGGCAAAACCAAATAAACAATGAAAATGAAAAATACAAAGAGTTTCAAGGCCTGTGGTTATTAGAATCTGTGTCCATCTCTTTGGATGTTATTTCAGAAAAAATGTCCAGTATAGACTTTTGCTATCTAGTGTCAGAAATCACTGTTTCACTGGCCATTTTCTTTTCTTTTTTTCCTATTTCTGATGGTTGATAGACATTTTATTATTACTATGTGTTTTTGTTTTCTTTCCGGAGCTTCAGAATGTTGCACAAGGAGGTTATAATTTAACATATCCATCTAAGAGTTCTGTACTTTTTGCTCAG